AATTAAATAAAAAAATAATTAAAAGATTATATCAAAATCAAAAGCTTCTACACACCAAGGGACAGGCTACAGAATGGGAGAAAACCTTTGGCAGCTGTTCCTCTAACAGAGGACTAATATCCAGAATATACAAAGGACTCAAAAAACAACACTAAAAGAAGAAGAAATTCAAAAAATGAGCAAATGAGCTGAATGAACACTTGTAAAAAGAAAAACTACAAATGGGCAGTAATTATGTGAAAAAAAATCCTCAACAACTTTAGGCATAAGGGAAATGCAAATCAAAACTACATTGAGATTTCATGTTAAGCCAGTTAGAATGGCTAATGTCAAGAAAATAATAATGAAAAGGCTGGAGAGGATATAGGGGGTAGGAATTTATACGGGGTAGTTGGTAGGAATTTAAATTAGTACAGCCACTATGGAAATTCCTGAAGAAACTAAAAATAATAACTAAAACTACAATATGACCCAGCTATACCACTCCTAATATGTACCCAAAGGAAATGATATTGGCATACAATAGACATACATGTATATCCATGATTATCACAGCATTATTCATAAGAAAAGTGTGGAATCAGCCTAGATGCCCATCAACAAATGAATGGATAACAAAAAATTAGTACATATACCTAAGGAATATTAATCAGCCATTAGAATGCAATCATGTTGCGGGAAAATGAATGGAAATGTAGATCATCATGTTAGGCAAAATAAGCCAGACTCAGAAGGACAATTATCACATACATTTTTTATATTTGAAATCTAGAAAGAAAGTAAAATAGAAAGGAAACCATTAAGGAAGGAGAAGAACAGAAATAAGGAGAGGAGAGGTAACAAAGTGTAATGGGGAGGGTGAATGGAATCAAAATACATTAAATGCATATATGAAAATGTCACAATGAAACCCATGATTCTGTATAAGTAATATGCACCAATAATTATAGTAAAAATTTAGGCCAATATGAACATTGAGAACATTAAGTCTTGGTGGGGGAAAGGAAATCCATGTCTTTATGTGCTGTGCTAATCAACTTTCAATCACTGTGAAAGTATACCTGAATTAATTAAATTATAAGGAGGAAAGGTTTATTCTGCCTCACAGTACTGACGGTTTCAGTCTGTGGTTGATTTGTCCCATTGCTTTTGGGCTTGTAGTGAAGCAGTCACCAAGGCAAGTCATAGAAGGAAAGACGCTGTGTACCTCATGGCAGCCAGGGAGAGAAAGAAAGAAAGCATGAAAGGTGCTGAGGTCCAAGTGTCCTACAAAGGACACACTCCAGTGACTTCACTTTCTCCCTCCTGGCTCCACCCATGAGAGGTCCCCCCTGACTCCCAATAGTACCACAGGCTGGTGAACAAGTCTTTAATATTTGACATTTTAGGGGTCAATTATGAAAGCCATGCCACTGGCATAAAATAAATTATAATTTCCAGAGAAAATTAGGTATCATTTAGCAAAATAAGGCCAGCTATCCACTTGTAGGACTCAAGTCAATGGAACTATTAGAGGCACAGAATGTGCACTGACCACATCCCAGTATTGTGACAAAGTGGAACACCTCAGTGCTATAGCCAAGTGTTATAGCTCTGAGGCACACCCAAGAGTTACAGTGTTACAATTTGAAGGCTCAGGAATCCCATGGTCACTCAAAGAGGTGGAGCAAAACCTTTATTATGCCGGCGGGCTCAGAGGAGTTCATACTCAAAGTCTGGTGCTCTACCAGAAATGAGAGCCTCCTTATATAGGGACCTACAGGATAGGCGAGCATGCTCACTGGAGCAGGGGGGTGGAGCTTAACAGAACATTCTTGAAAGGGGGCAGAGCCTAACAGAACATTCCTGAAAGGTCACAGAGTTCAAACAGTCACTAAACATTTTGATACCTTGGGCAGGAGCGCTGGGCAGCATGAACTGTTAATTCCTGGAACAAAACATTTTTGTAGGGGAAAAATCATGGAGGCAAGTCAGGGAAATGCAAGGGCCTATCTTATTGTGTATTATTGCTCTATCACCAATTCAGAGGGTGGTTCGGGATAGGAAAGATCACACTGGAGTGTTTGTTGGTAGAAAGATGGAGAAGTAGTTGACACTTCACACACATGGAAGAACTCAGTGGCAGCATTCTGATCCATACACTGACAAAACGTCACCCACAAAAAGCTGTCAAATGAAAATGCTACAGAACTAGTGAGTGTGGGGACCCAGCTTACACAAAGACACCGGAAGTAGAGTCCAGGTATACACACAGATGTGGACAAACACATAGCTACTGCTCAGGGAGAGAGTGTGACTGAGACAAAGAGAAGAGCAGTCTTTTATGTAGCCACATCTTGATGAATTTTCAAATATGTATTCATTTTGATACACAGAGAGAAAGGGAAAGAAAGAGATTATTAGGGATTATGACAAAGAAAAATTGGAAACAAAATTTAAAGGTGATGTTATCTAACACCCTAACTGTACTACAGCATAATGCTTAGATGTGCAGGCAGAGAAATGAATCTGGATAGAGATCTCTGACACTGTCCCAAGAAGGGTTTCCCACCTCAGCGTCCTCATGCCACCAAGACCAGGACAGAACAGAAGTGAGGAAAAGGCCAGAAGGCCAAATTGCCCCAACCAGAGGTTTCTGCTATGAGGGATACTGGACACAGTTCCCTCTGAGCTGTCTCTGCTGTGTTCCTGAAGGTCCATAAAGGGTTCCGTGAGGAATTCAGTCTTCCTACCATCCTCTCAAGAGGGAAAGATGATGCAACAAAGATCGTCCACAGCACTGCATCTCCTAGGGCCCAGGGAGTTGCAGTGCAGAGTCCCAGACCCTCTTTAATTGGCCGTTGGAGGCCCTGCCAGGTGCAGAGAATCCTACCCAGTAGAGTGACCTCAAGGACAGGTGCCTGTGTGCTGCCTGGATGCTGGATACAGGCGAGGAGGAGAGAGGAGGGAGCCCACCTTCCCATCTCCACAGTGACCCATGAACTTGCTGCAGCCAGAACCTCTGCACCCAGTCACTTGCTGGACCCCAGGGGGCCAATTTTCCCCCTGCCCACCTCACTCCACTGCTCAGGAAGTAGGATCTGAACTGCAGAAGACCCGGGGGTCCTGAGTGTCCACCTCACCCTCTTTACTACACACCAGGCTCAGGAACATGGAGATCCCGGAAGCCCAAACACTGGCTGTATGATCTTGGGTAAGTCTGATTCTTACCTGGTAGGTGAGGTCAACACATCACCTTGTCAGGACTTCCAGGAGTAGAGGGCATAGGAAGGCAGCAGGGCTGTGCATACAGAAGGCACTCAGGACTTGCTCTCAGCAGGTGAGACAGTCACCACTCTCCCGTCCCGGCCACCTTGTCCTTGGCTGCCTGTCAGTGACAGCAGTGCCTGTGAACCTCCTCATGAAAGAAATCCTGGGTGCAGGCTCTGACCTGCAGGTGGTCAGTTGAAGCACCTGCTTTTCTACCAGCTCACAAGTGAGGGTGACGCTGCTGGATCGAGGCCACAGAGCCCATAAGGCAGGCAAGGAGGAAGGTGAGGACAGGAGGCCCATCACAGGTGAGAGGCTTCCAGCTCTCCAGCAGCACAGCACCTGCCTCAGCCCAGGGCCGGCTGCCCATCACTGACACCTGTGGACGCACTTGCATCCTCCACACGCTGCAGACGTCATGAGGCTGATGTCTCCCATAACATAAGTCAGTGAACCTGCCTCCGGACAGGGACATCACCATATATTTTCAATTTAATGGAAAGAGGGGGTTAAAATTGTAACCACCAATGAGTTTCTATCAAGTGGAATTGGCATGGATGAGCACAAAATACTTCCATTTAAACCCTTCCAGCTCACAGTGTAAATACCTGCAACTTAATACTTGCTGGGGAACAAATGGGCCCCTCCAGACCACACGTCCCCACCCTGTGAGAGTGAGCCCCAGAGGGTGAAGAGTGTCCAACTCCAGCTGCTAGACCCACACAGCTCAGGAACCCCATGGAGTCCCTCCAGAAGGCAGACCAGACCCCACATGCCATTCCAGCCAGGGTCCTTACCAGAGCAGAGCTATGACTGCCTCCTGGAGAAAACAGAAGTGGGAAGTCACCCCTACTCAGGGTACAGCAGCATTGTACATGCTGTGACAAAGACAGAAGGAGACACTGATCATGAACAGTCAGATGGCAATGGGAAGAGGTCCCTGTTGGATTTCAAGGGGGCAACACCCCTGTCTAAGTCTCCAACCCCAAGAAGGAGCTGAGATGCAGCACTGGCAATGGGGTGGGGTGTGAGCTGCTGTCAGGGGCTACCTTGCTGTGTCTACACTCACCTTTCCACAGTCTATCCAACTGCAGGACCTGGGCAGGACAGGACACCTCTGACATCCTCGAGGAGGCAGAAAGCTCAGCAGACTAAATGTCACCATGGTCCAGGATTGGTGTCACAGATGCAGAGGTGGCATCAGGGGCATAGAGGGGAGAGACAGAGGCACCAGGTCACCAGAGCAGGCTGGGCTGCAGGTGGTGTGATCACCCACCCAAGGCCTGGTGCACAGGAGAGCCTTGAGTCCTTTTCATGAATCAGGGAGTGAGGATAGAGGCCTGGGCAGTGTGGGATGGGACAGATGCCCACATGGGGCTTCTCAGAGCATCTTTAAGAGTAGGAGAGCAGGTGATTCAAAGGCAGGCAGGTGGTGCTGAAACTCTGTCCTTACACCCAGAGTGACTCAGCTCTGGATACCGGTTTGCATCCCCAGGAGCATGGCTCAGTGTCCTACACAGGGAATATTCAGTTCCCGGTCAGGAATTAAGTAACTCAGAGACAGTGTTTCCTTTCAGGCCCTTAGGAGCTCATCTGCAAGAAGAACAGCACAGCAGGTAGCACCGTGGTCCATGGGCAGCATGACACTAACAGGTCTCTGTGCTTCATGGTACCAGTGACCTTAGGACCATGACCTGCTTCTTGTCACTGGCTCCACCATCCTCTCTGCACGGCTGTCCCAGCTCAGGGCCATGACAGCAAACGGACATGGGAACCTCTCAGCGGTGCCCTTGTGGGAGTTTGTCCTGGAGGGATTCAGGGGAGGCGTGGAGACCCAGGCCCTGCTCTTTGCCGCCTTCCTGGCCCTGTATGTGTTGACCGTCATGGGCAACCTCACCATGATCACAGTCATCACCCTCGATGCCCGCCTGCACTCACCCATGTACTTTTTCCTCAAGAACCTGTCCTTCCTGGACCTCTGCTGCTCATCTGTCATCGCCCCCAATGCCCTGGCCAACTTCCTCTCCTCCTCCAGGGTCATCACTTTTGCAGGATGCACCATTCAGTTCTTTCTGATTTGTGTGTTTGCTACCACAGAGGCTGTCCTCTTAGCTGTGATGGCCTATGACAGATTCAGGGCCATCTGCAGCCCCCTGCAGTACCCAGTGACCATGCGCCCTCTGATATGCGCACAGCTTGTTCTGGGGTGCTACTGTGCAGGCTGCTTCAACTCCATCGTGCAGACCAGCCTCACCTTCCAGCTCCCCTTCTGCAGCTCCAACCTCATCAATGACTTCTTCTGTGACGTGCCACCTCTGCTGCAGCTGGCCTGTGCTGACACAGCTCTCAATGAGCTTCTCCTGTTTGGCCTCTGTGGCTTCCTCATTGTGACCACTGTATTAGTGATCCTGGTGTCCTATGGCTACATCACAGTGACCATCCTCAGGATGCACTCAGGAACAGGAAGACAAAAGGTCTTCTCCACCTGTGGGTCCCACCTCACAGCCGTGTCCCTCTTTTATGGAACCCTCTTTGTTATGTACGCACAGCCCGGAGCTGTGGATTCCATGGAACAGGGCAAGGTGGTCTCCATCTTCTACACCCTGGTCATCCCAATGCTCAACCCCCTCATCTACAGTCTGCGGAACAAGGATGTGAAGGACGCCCTGCGGAGGCTGGGACAGAGGCAGGCAGCCCTGTGAATGTGGATGGCCAGTGAGGGATGCTCATTTGAGGAGGGAGGAAAGGCATCAGTGAGACACTGGGTCTATTTCAATGGGGTTTTTCTTCTTGTTGTTGCTTCCTTCCTTCCTTCCTTTGTTAATGTTTGCTTTGCTGCCTTCTCTTCTGGTTTTCTAGCCTTCTTTCTCCTATGCATCTCTCCAATCTTTCATGAAAGCACATCACATGGAAGTCATTTGTTAATCTGAATAAGGCACCTTCTTTGACATGCAAAAAATAATGGTTTGTGGTAGAGCAAACTGAATCCTTTACACATTCAGTAAAAAGAGTCAGCAGAAGAATAAGCAGAGCCCTTAACGCAGGGCCTGGGAACAAAATTAGCATCTCTCAGGGAAGGTACATGGAGCTTTATACTGTCTGTGGCTCCTTCCTTGTCCATCATTGACCCTAATGTCACAGTGAAATCACAGGGAATGTCACAGGGAAATTGCTGCTGGACATCTGTGAGCAGGGATCTTAAGGGGCTGCAGGCTGCACACGTCCTCACAGTGACCTGGATTTGCCATGGCAATGGGACAGAGCTCTGCACCCTGCACTTCTCCTCACTCAGCACCCTGGCTGCTCCCTACCCTCCCTCTGTACAGGATGCTGCCTCCTCCTGCAGGCAGCACAGGGCACCTCCTGCCTGCTTCAGATGCTCCTAGGTGACCTGGCTCCAGCACATCCACCGGCCTCCAGCTCAGCACCCAGGTGAAAGCACAGGGCTTCCAGGTCTCACAGTGAGCCTCCAAAGCTCAGCCTGGCTGCTCCTGAGCAGTGAATGGTGCTCTGTCACCAAGCTGCTCCTGAGGATGAAGAGCACTGGTGCAGCCAGGAGAAGAGTGGGCAAGGGAGGGACGTGCATTCCCCTGAGCCCAGCTCTCCTGCACTGGCTGAGGTCCTGGACCTGCAGCTCAGGATGGGGCTCCCCAATCTCCACCTCGTCCTCATGCCCAACCCACACCTGGTCTCAGGCCATTGTCTTACTTTATATCTATCTCTTTAGTAGAGATGTCCACTCCATGAGTGATACAAGCAAAGTCTTCTCTGCAAGTGGGGTTAGTCTGTGTCCCTGCTAGGGGTGGTAGGGACCTGCCCTGGATCTCTGCTCCCTGCTCTCCCTGCTCAGGACACCTTCAGTTAGGGCCGGGGATTTAGCTCAGTGTTTATGATGCCTGCCTCGAAAGTGCAAGGTCCCAAATTCTATCCCCGGTACCAAAAAAAAAAAAAAAAAAGAAAAGAAAAAGTTAAATTGGATAAAATACAAATCTAGCACTGTGAAGATAGTATTTTTCGCATATATGGACACCTTCCATATATATGCTAGTTGAAAGGAGGAAAGGAAAAAACGGTTGATAAAAAAAAAAAAAAAAAAGAAAAAGAAAAAGACACCTTCAGTGAGAAGACTGACAAGACAAGCAGGTCCCAGGTCTGTCGCCCAGTTAATCTGTCTGGTAATCTTCAGGTTTCCAACCACTTTGTGTAACCATCAAGCCTCAGCTTTGAGATCTCCAAAATTATATCTACCCCTAATACTGAATCCACCCCTTAATATTCGGGTCATATGTAACATTCCTTTTCTCTGTGCAGCTCTGAATTTACCTCTCAAGTGGCCTGCCTCTCTGATAGAACTGTATTCCTCCACTTCATCACCTTCTTTCCCTTCTCCCCCAACCCCCAGCCATTACCCTGTCTTCTTAGCAAAATAGAGGAATATACCTATGATACTTATACCACCTCAGTACATGGTTAGAAAAGAAGAAAAGTGCTACAATTGTTTTGTTTGTTTTTATTCCACAGTGTAAATTTATCTAAACTCTGTTGTAGGCTGTGGTATAAACAGTGAAGAATCAGTGTCCTTATTATGAGAATATCAATCCTGACTTAAATTAAGAAATGAAGCCACTCTGACATTAAAAGGGACACAAATTCTCCAACAGTCTGGAAGACAAGGTCAAAAACCTCCCAGTGATGTCACCTCAACAGGACCTACATTCAGATCCTCCTGAATGTCACTGTTCAAGGTTAGAGGTGGTTGGTTTTGCCTTTTTCCTCTTACAAGATGCTGTCCTGCATGGTGGTGTCAGGTCCTCAGTCCACGCCTATTGGCTGACTGGACACTTGGGTTGTTGCTAACCAGGCTCGCAACTCCGAAATCCACCTGGCATAATTCTGCTTAGGTGAGTGAAGTTAGTGGAGGGTGAATGCCTTAAGTTCAAGGACCACATTTTAGTTTGATCATTGTTCTCTACTACATTGTTAAATCAAAAATAATTGAGATCAGGGAGCTTTTCATGTTGGGAGTGGCTCTGAGAGCCTGACAGAAGGAACCAGGGCTGCCGAGGCCAGACACCAGGATAGGCTCCTCACCTACCCTCACTGCCATCTGGAAGAGGAAACTCAGTGTGGGAGTAAACTGCTACTGGGGACCTTGGGAAGCCAGGAACAGCAAGGAAAGGGGAAATGAACTATCCCCCACCCCCATCATGTTCAAACAGTGAGAAACCCTCTCTCCCTATGCACAAACCTCTCTTGCCAAGAGGAAAAGAGAAGCTGAACACGGGAACTTTGGGTGCCACCAGTAGCATGATCTATGGTAGCATCCATAGATCAAAACCCTGGAAACACAAAGGAGGGGAAACTCAATGGTCAGTGCAGAGTGAGAAGTGTCCTGTTGTTTCCCCAGAGACCAGAAAGATCTGAGACAGTCAAAAACCCTAATGACCACCATATCATGAGTGGGGAAAGGAACTCCTCAGCCATGCCCAGGGCTGCATAAGACTCAGCACACTGGAAAGGGGAGCTGTGCGGTTTGGCACCTGAGCACAAAGGACCAGAGAGGCTCCAATGGGGCCGACAGCTTTTGGCAACAGACTTGGCAGAAAGTCTCAGGAATGCAAACACAAACACAAAAGGCAGGATTCGCCTAGCAGCACAGGGAGCAGGAGTGACAGGACATCAGCAGGCTACAGAGCCAGGTGTCAGGCAAATGATTTCCATCCCCTCTCCCCAGATTAACTGAGGTGGTTGGATATTGGGACAGAGACAAAACACTGCAGCCTAAAGCATGGCTTGCAGCAAAAAGTTGGCCTAAAGAAATTGACATGCTCACCACTCCCAAATACCCAGGTACACAGCCAGGAAAGGGGTGCCTGCAAGCACACTACAATTAAAGCAGGAAGGGAACTGTACGGACACTGGCTACATGGCATAGCAGTCCTGTGGGGATTGTTTGATTGTTTTACTGCTAGTGTGTCTGTTCTGGGTTCTCTCCAAAGAAGCAGAAGTGAGACTTCCTTCTCTTTATTCCATTCATGCTAGCAGTCTATTGGGTGGTGACACTTGACACCCAGGGTGGGTGTTATGGCTGGTGTTTAGATGCTGCCCCTCAACCTCACGTGGTCATAAGTGGGGCTTTTTCAGAGGTGGCTGGATCTAAGGTGTGTCATGCTGGGATTGAATCATGGTGCAGTGCTAGGTTCAAGGGCACTAGGATCAAGGGTGTGAGTGCTACCCACCCTAAGTGGCCCGGATAAAATATAAGGGATAGAAAGAGCTTGGTTGACCCTTGCTGTGCTACCTTCTGCCTCCCATGAACTGTTTTGCCTTTGTGATACCTGTCTGCCATCCACCCTGCCTTGGAGCTAGCCATTTATGGACTAAAATCTCTACTAACTGTGAGCTAAATAAACCTTTCCTCCTTCATGGAGGAATAGTGCAACTTCCCCTTGACAGTCTGAGTCAATCACCCCTGACAACACTGTGACTCACCTTTTTAGCTTGTTTCCTCAGAGGGATGAGGAGACCAAGATGACCACCAGAAAGTCTTAGTTTCTAATTCAATGGTATCATTATTGTGCTTCCTGGTACAAGACTTCTCCCCTCTGGAACTAAGACTTTTAAACCAGCAGAGCATAAGGTCACAGAAACAGGAAGCAAAAATTTTGTCAGTGGATCACTAGGGTAACGGTGAATGGTACCATTCCCACTTCCACCTCTTGATTCCTGGACCCATGAATCCTGGTCATGGGAGACACAGTACCATATAGCAGACGCTGATTTAAAGCATACACAGCCTTTTGAAGAACCTTGCCCCAGACCTGCAAGCTACTGCCACTTAGCTGGTGCTGTAACTGCATCTTCAAAAGACCATTCCACTTTTCTATCAATCCAGCCACTTCTAAATAGTAAGGAACATGGTAAGGCCAGTTAATTCCATGAGCATGAGCCCATTGCCTCACTTCTTTGGCTGTAAAATGGGTTTCTTGGTCAAAGGTAATGCTATGCGGAATTCCATGATGGTGGATTAGGCATTCTATGAGTCCAGAGATGGTAGTTTTGGCAGAAGCATTAGGTGCAGGGAAGGTAAATCCATATCCAGAATAAATGTCTATGCCAATAAGGACAAAGTTCATGACAGAAGTGGTCCAATATGATAGAAGTGGCCTGATATAATCAACCTGACACCAGGTCACAAGTTGATCACCCTGGAGAATAGTGCAATATCAAGGACTTGGTATTGGTCTCTGCTGCTGGCATATTGGGCATTCAGCAGTGGCTGTAGCCAGATCAGCCTTGGTGAGTGACAGTCCGTGTTGCTGAGCCCATGCATAACCTCCATCCCTGCCACCATGGCCACTCTGTTCATGTGTTGATGACTTTGTCTCAGCAATGAGGAAAGTAAGACAGTGGGTCTTCCTTTTTCAGCATGTCATCACTCAGTCACACCCAGAACTACGCTATGTCAATCAACTAGGTGTTTCTTACTCAAGTTGATGCAACAACTAACAATCACAATCCCCCCTTCTCAACTAGACAACCAGACACATTTCCTTAAACCACACTTAGACTCCAGATACAAAGACAAGTTCATAATTGTAAATAACATGATACAACTATCCTGTGTACAAATGGAAGTACACTAATTCCCTCCTCAGAATAGAAGGTAATGTTTTCTTTGAGTGAGGAATACTCCTAATAT